TTCCCAAAGCCTCAGAGGCATGCTGGGAAGGAGAAGAAAAGGATAGAAGATGAGCGTCCCTGGTAGTGAGTCCCCAAAGTTACCAACTTTTAAGGTGTCACTCACAGGCCCCAGATCCTGTAACATCCTCCCCACTCCAGGCACCAGGAATGCCCTCCTGACTTGTTCTGGGTTGGAGCTGGACTCAGTCCTAACTCACGGAGGTCGGACGGGAGAAAGGAAGCGCTCGCCAGACTGCCTGATCTCCAGCCTGATCTCCACTCTCTCGGTTTCCAGCAGGATCCCCCACCCCTCCAACTCCTCCACAGGCAGCTCCTTTGCCGAGTCCTCCTGAGGGTGCCCCTGTCCTACCTTGCCATGTCCCACTGCCATCCAGGTTCTGAACCTGCACAAATCGGGGCAGCAGTCACCTGTCTTCTCCTGCGGCTGTGCTCTGGGGGCACCAACCCGGGAGCAAACAACCCGGGTGTGCGACACATGACCCTGCCCGCGTCCTGAGGTCACTGCTGCTCCCGAGACTTGTTGCTTCACCTTAATTTTCCCTCCTCGCTGGTCCTGAAGGGCTCTAGGCCACCTCCTGCCCCAGACGAGGTAAGAAGAAATATTCAAGTGATGGCAGCGGTGACCCACTTATTAGCAGATGCCACAGCCCCGGGGCACAGTAGCTGATGCTGAAAGTACAGAGACCAAAGTGGGGGAGAAGGAAATGTCCTCGGGAAGAACACTCAATTCCAACCCTACCTAAGAGAGGTACTGGAAGTACGTGGTGACAAGAAAGACATGCCAGTCGGCGGGTGGGACGCGCAAGGACAGACCGCTTGCTGGACACACACTGGGGTGGTGTCACCTCAACCCCCCACAAAGGCCAGGCTCCAAGGGCGGACAAACGGGTGCTCCCCACCCCCAACCTGTGTGCCGTAGCCAGGGCCACCCTACGAGTGGAGTGCGTGGACCTGGGTGTTAGGCGAGCCCAGCAAGTCCGTCTGCAAGGCAAGAAGACTGGGCTTCTGCTCCAGCTCAGGGACCATCAGGGAGCCATCATCTCCAAGTCTGTTTTCTCTGCTGTAGGATGAGATGGTGCCACACACTATACTGAGTGGCTGGAAGACCTACACCAGAAACGAGCGAGTTACTAGTAACAAGCTGTGATGACATGCGAGGAACCTAGGCGGGGAGGTGTGTTTGGTTCTGGGCACAGCCATGGGGGTATGCTGCTCCTTCCCACACCCCCTCACCAAGAGGGTACTTTCCCCTTAGAAAGAAGCCATTCAGTTCATGAAGGGGGCTGCATGCCGTTTTAAGTGTTGCAGAGTTGGGAGCCAAGGGGGAATCAGGAAACACGGTCTTTTGATGGAGTGAGACCACAGAGCCTGAGCCTCAGGGCAACCTACACCACTAGGAAGTGGCCAGCCCTCCCACCTTTTTAATGGGGGTGTGTGAAGCGAAAGCAGGAGAGAGAGTAGCACGGTACCTAGAGACTGGATCTCTCTTCAGAGTCACCTGTGCTCCAACTCCTGAGTCCAAGGCAGGGAAGCAAACAGGGTGACCTTGTCCTATTCCAAAGCAGCCGACAAGGGGCCCCCTGCTCAATGCGGTCAGTTTGTGGCTGGGTCTCCAGCCAGGATAAGCTCAGCTGCACCATCTGTGCTCTGTGCTCTGTTGGGCCGGTGCCTGCTGGGCTGCCTGTGACCCAGCAGCATCTGCTCACCTGTAAGTGGCGGATGCTGCCCCCTTTCTGAACAGTGAAAAGCTTTCAGCATGCAGGGAGTCCCCGTGTCCTCTCAGGTCTTCCCTCTGACACCCTCTGGGAGGAGGGAAGGATCCTGCACAGGGATGGAATGATGGGCTGAGAGGTGCTATGGGAATGAGAAAGGGTGATAAGAGAGCAGCACCCAGCACCACCACCCCACCAGGGGTCCCTGGCTCCTTTGCAGTGTAGCACAGGAAGGAACGAAGTGCCCAATTCTGACTGTCCCTAGCAAAACCAGAGAAGCTTTGTGGAAAGAATCCCAAGATGCTCCTCAGCTTGGAGGCAATGTTACACATTTGAAAGAGCTGGGGTGCCCGACACTTTCCCATTTCATTCTTCAAAGGACCCCAAGGATGCAAGGTCAGGTGAAAGTGGATCCTGATAACCCTCATGGGCCCCAATCGAAGGGCCGGGTCACTGTTGGCTCCAGCTGTGGGGACACCTGAGAGCTCATGTGAAGCAGCAAGCGATTCAGGGAAGCCTCTGCCCACAGCACCCTGCTCTGTGGCTACCACAGGAAGGAGGAACTGACTCATACCAGCTGTGCTGGGAGTCACAGGATGTGGACAGGGGTCGAGGACGTGGGGCAAGGAGGAAGAGGAATTTTCCATTCGTTGAGGTCAAGGGCACAGGGAGGCAACTGGTAGCTACTGGTGGAGAAAGCTCCTTTCCTAGATGTAATCATGATGCTATACACAGGCTGGCCTCAGAGATGTTAGTATCTCAGAGATTCTTATTCTGTATGTGCTTCTCAGGAGCTTTCCTGGGAAGAAACAGAAGAGAAGGTTTCCACAGGACTTTCTGAAAATTAAGCCACAATATAAAAGCCTGTATCTTTATTCTACAGAACATACTGTGCCAGAATAGCAATGAAGACATGGTTATTACTAAGCCCTTCTAAAAATGCAGGCCGCGTAGGGGCATCATTCACCTGAGACCAAGAGATGATCTGTGCAGGGGGTGGGAATGTGCTTAAATCCACCCCACCTGCACCCTGCTCTGTGCCTGGAACATTTGAACAGAGCCCAGCCACTGGCAAAATCAGAAACAGCTGGTGGTGAGGGCCACCATGGAGTTGCTACAAGAGATGGGTGATCTGAACCTGAATCACCAGGGGCAAGGAGAAAGGGTGCCCCTCCTGGGATCCGAAGAGGCCACTTGCTGGAATCCAGCTCCCTGGACTTGGGAGGAGACCAGACCTGCAAGAGGGCTCCAGTCGGAAGGAAACCTGCAGCCTTGCCCCTCCCCCAAGTCACTAAAGGAGGGCGGGGCTTCAGAGAGACGAAAGCACGGGCGTTTGGGGTCAGGAGGCCCTGGGGTTCTGCAAGACCACAGACCCTGGAAGCCACATGCAAAACTGTAAAGCAACTTTGGAAATGCAGACAGAAGCCCCACAATGGAAAGGGGTGAGGGCGGCAAAGGGGTGAGGGGAGCAATGGCCTGAAGAGAAGCCTTCTTGCTCCTTTTCTGCAGCTCCAGATCACTCTCAGGTCTGGAGTGTTTGCAGGCATTAGGACAATTAGTTCCATGAGTTATACATGCAATATCTGGGAGATGAAGGCAGTAATTAATGCCCGTCTGCCTTCCTGAGGGCTTCCTCCTGTTTGGTCAGAATTACTGAGACGGGGGAGGGAGGCTTCCATCACGAGGAAGGTTTATAGGAATAAGTGAAGGCACAATTTAACAAGGCAATAATAATGCTGCTGAATAATTTCCCAAGCAAATGACAGCAGCCGATTCTTGCAGTGCTTGGTCTCCATTCTGCTGGCAGTTGGGGGAGTGTGCCAGGCAGGGGCTGCAGACTCCGGGGGTTTCCCCGAAAAGACCCTGGAGTGACTCTGCAGCTGTTGCTGCTCCTCTCTGGACCCTCTCAGATTCCTCCCTCCCTCTCCTCCCCCTGCCACAATGAAGGGGAGAGATCTGGAAGGGCCTTACACTTACAGATACCCTGAGTAATTCCACCAATCATAGTGTGTTGAAATGCTAAGAGGTCAACAAGGCCTCCGTCCCTCCGCTCTCCTGGCTGCCATGCCGGTTCCTGTGCCACCATCCAGGCTGGGGGGTGGGTGGAGCAGGGCACCGGACAGTCTGAGCTGTGCCACATTCCCACCAGACCTGCCATGGGAGGGTCAGAGACCTAATTCTAAGACAAGACAAATGCTCAGCTGTGGCTGGATGTGCAAGAGGGAAACACAGACCACTGCCAACTGCTCCTAAATGCGGACAAGACATCGCTCCTGTGGTCTATGCCACAAGGCTCCTTTCATAGGGTTGTAAGTCCGGACTGGGGGCGCATAAAAAAACCATCCGGTGGTCTTTGGGGTTAACAAATCTGGACCCAAATAACACAGCTGACAGGGCTTGTGGAAGTCTCTGCCAGGATAGGGATGACGGAGTGGAGAGGCCAGCTCCTGAAAGGCTGGGCTCCCTCCTGGCCCCTGCCTCCCCCTTCGAATCAGCTAAGTGCCCACATGGCAAACTGTGGTCAACCTAGCACACCTGAATTTGTGCCAGGGCTGAGGAGAGCCAAGGGGAGCAGAAAATATTAACAGATGCTGCAAAAGCGGAAGGGAAACATTTGTGAGCCCCGCCCACGAAGCAGGCAGAGATAAATAGCTGCCTCTGGTCCGTGTCTTATTACCAGAGGCCTGACTGGCACAACGTTCAGTTCCACCCCCCACTCCACCATGGCCCAAAGCAATCAAAAATGAGCCTGGAGATTCATCTTCTTCCTCTGTCCACAGGGAGGCAAGCAGACAGGAAGATGGCTGCACCGTGCCTTCCCTGTCTGAAGAGCCTGACTGGTCAGGGTCAACTGTGAGACAGATCAGTCCTGCACACCCATTCAGGAGACCCAGCTTCGACCCGTGTGCTCTGCTCCAGGCTGGTGCAGGGTAAGATCAAAGCATGGAAAGCCCGGAGTGTGAGATCTGAGACTCTCAAAGCGCTTTTTGAAGAGCAGCCCTCAAACCCCGAGCTAAGTCCGTGACAGTTCACATGGCCCTGGAGCTGCCAGGGACCCGGATGACAACTCTAAACCACGTCTGACTTGAGGCCTGGTCCTCAGGACACTCGGGCTGGAGTCTTAAGTGACATGATCCATTTTATGCTGAAGCCTAGACTACAGTTTAGCTGCAGTACAGAGATGTGTAGGTGCTTCCTCTCGGTGTTCTCCCAGAAGGGAAGGTGGTTCAGAGCCCTCAGCCACTCAGGACAGCCCTAGCACCTCAGGCTGGGCGAGGACACTCACCAGGTAGATGCGGTAGGCGTCCACTCGGCGCAGGGGACCCCAGCACCGGTCAGTGTCGTTGTGCTTGGTGTCTGCCTCCATGCTGCAGGAGTCGTTGCCAGAGGCACTGCTGGGAGAATAACACCAGGCCCAGGTTCGGTTTGCCCTCCCCACCCTTGTTTTGGGATGAGACAGACACTCCCCCACTCCATAATCTGACTTTTCGTAAACCATCTTTTAGCATTTGCCCCACTTGTCCCCAAAGACTCAGGGGCCCTTGGTGGAATCTGAACCATTTTCCCAAAGGGGCAGGGTGGGGATAGCAGTGCAGAGTGTGTCTCCCAGGGACAGAGGGCGTGCAGGGCCTCAGGGATCTATCCTTTTCAGGTGCCATGGACTTGCTTGGCACTGAGCTTCTCTGATGGCTACCGCCATGGCTGGCTGGAGAGGCCCAGTGGGCTGATGGGGATACTCACCAGGTCACCTGCATGAGGGAAAAGGGCACAGCTGCAGCATAGATGGCCAGGTCCCCATACAGGTAAATGATGATGCAGAAATAGAACAAGTTGACCCCCACTGAAAACAACAAAGCCACCTGTCAGGGAGCCAGAGAGAGATGGCAGCATTTCTTCCTGACGACTAAATGTCTACCTCTTCTGTACCTTTTAGCTCCCAAGCAATTTACTTCCTACAAAAAGTGGAAAAATGACCCCCAAGTCCTGTTTGTTGATCTGGCTGGCTACACCATAGCTAGGAGACACATCAGCTGGGCACCTGCACTGGGAGGGCTCTGTGAGGCCCAGGCATGTGAGGATTCTGAATCTGGACCAGGGCAAGGAGTGTGAGGAATGGCTGCCCCAGAGGAATCGCTGGCCTCAGGTCCTTCGTGCTGGGGACAGGCCAGCGGGGCCGGGGAGGAGACGTCCTGAGTCAGGAGAATGAACCCCCTAGTGCACGGGGCCAGGGTCTCCTCTGCAGCCCACCCAGCTCTAGGACAAGCGACCACCACTGAAGAGTCAAAGCACACAGAAGTCGATGGAAAATGGTCCAGTTCTCCAAAGCCGAAATTGAGGGCATGGAAAGCCCTGCATTTCCAAAGACCTGGTGCCTCTTTCTGAATCTGATCAATCAGCCAGCACCGGGTGGCCCGGTGATGCTGATGTACTGGGGGAGACCGGGGTCACCGCAGGCTCCCTTTCCTTCTTGCAGGGGGTAGGGCTGACTCTGGAAGGTGCCTGACATTGGTGCCCCCCTCACTGCAGAAGGAGCCTGAACCAGAAGTTGGGAATGCAGGGCTCTCGTCTTAATCTCATCAGATTTCTTTCTCAATCCTGGCAAGTCCCTGACATGTCTTATCTTGTACGGTGAAAAGAATTCCACCCATGTTACCTTCCACATATAATTCCAGCTGTAAAAATCGGGGGCAGAGGGCTGAGGATTTAGCTCAGTGGTTTTGCCGCCTGCTGCACAAGCGCAAGGACCCGAGTTTGATCTCCAGTACCCCCCCCCCCCAATCAGGGGCAGAAGCCCTGGAGAAAGCAGTCAGGGCTCTATAACATACAATCCGTATGGTCCTTGACCACCAGTCTCAAACAGGCTCAGGCTAATTGCTCAGGTTTTTGATGTCACCAGTCTCAAGCTGCTGGCTTCTTGAAGAACGAGAAAAAAAAAAAAAATGAAGTGACAATTCCCTTCTAATCCTGGTGGCTCAAAAGAACCTGCAGTGTCCCCAGGGAAAAGCCTAGGACATGTTACTCCTCGGCTATGTAAGGTCAGCTCTGTTCCTACAAATCGAGGGGAAAAACAACAGCAAAACACACATTTTGCGGGGGAGGGATACTGGGGATTGGGGTTACCTAAGGCCTTTACACTGAGCTACACTTGTCCACTGCCTCCTTTGGAGACAGGGTCTTACTAAGTTGCTGAGTTGCCCAGGTTGGACTCAGATGCTTAAACGTATAATTCTTCTGCCTCAGTCTCCCAGAGTGTTGGGATTACAGGCCTGCACCACCACATCTGGCTGCACACACACGTGTTTTGTTTTTTTTTTTTTTTGCAGTACTGGGGATTGAACTCAGGACCTTGTACTTTCGAGGCAGGGTAGGCACCACTGAGCTAAATCTCCGGCTTTGCAGACACAAGTTTTTAAAGGACCCATTTAAGGTCTGGCACCTGCTTTTGAACACACCAGTTGGCATGTCCTTCCCTGACATGTCAGAGATGGCCCTGACTTCCAAACTCAGTGGCCACTGGGGCTGCCTGTCACTTACACCCACAGCCCATTTCAGCTTGCCTTTCTGCTCTGACACCAATGTTCTCAGGAAAGAGGCACTGTGCCCTCCCTGCCCCTTTCCCGCCAGCAGCTCTGTGCTGGCAGTTTTCTGGCTGTTTATAAACTGCCATGGGCTCTCTCTGATCAATAAAATTTCATTACTAGACACAAAGTGGGAGGATCAATGAGCTTCCTCAGAGGACATCAATGATGAGGCCTGGCGTTTTGAATCACGATAAATGAGTGGAGACCCCGAGGGAGCACTGGGGAGGGTGGCAGCCCTGCCAAAGGTGAGGGTGACAACGGAACAGTCTGTGAGCTATGAATAGAGAAGAGTAGGGGTGATTGTGTACCCCACGGCCCACTGGGGACATCTATCTGGAGACAGTGTTGACTGTCACAGCTGGGAGGTACTCTGAGCACCTAGATGCCTAGGATGCTGCTGAACATCGGCAATGCCCAGGACAGGTCCCCGTGACACAGTCATTGGCCCATCGCCAACAGTGCCGAGCTTGACACCTGCAGGAGATGGTAAGGGGGCTCCTCTGGGCATGGGGCTGCCTCCCCACCAGCATGGTGCTTTCTGTTAGACGTAGGTAAAGGGAAAGTCTGATCTACTGTGGGGAGGGGGGTAACAAAATGAGCCACTCATTCCTAGAATTCTTACAGAAATGGGGGCAGATGCAGAACATGAAAATGAGAGAGGAGGCTTAGAAAGATACACATTCTCCCTCTGATGTGCATTTTACTTTGAAAGCTTCCGTTTGGAAGAGGACTGTGACTGCCAGGGGGGAATGGTGAGGCTTTCTCAGATTGGTGCGATGGAGAGGGACAGAAATGGAACAAAGGAAGAGCACAGAAGTGGGTTGGACACGGCCAAATAGGTTTTGATGAATTCTGGGAACCCTCTCGGAGGCCCATCCAGAAGCCAGGCTGGATCCAGGCCTTGGGCAAATTTGTGCGGATAATCACCGCCTCCCGGACACACTGTCAAGCTGCACTGCCCCTGATAAAGCGAGTGCTGAGTGTCCCGAGGAGCAGTCAAGAAGACCCCATTCTATCGTCCTTACTCTACTCTAGACAGGCCGGATGGAGCCGCCCCACTCCAGAGGCTTCCACAGAGAGAAAATCTTCCAAGACAGCTGCAAAGGTGAGGGACTTACTGAGACTGCGCCTGACTCTCACGGAAGTGGAAATGTACAGGTTTACCTTAAAAACGAAACTCTTTCAATAGCTCTTCTTCTCAGAGCTCAAGAGGTATACTGCTGGAGTTGGATGGATCCCGGCACGAGTGCGTAGCCAAGTACCCCTGAGGAGCAGGCAGCTGGGAGGGGAGCACAGCACCTCTTCCCTCCAGGGCAACCCGGGCATGGGCTCTGAGCGCCCTCTGCTGGCCACCTGGAGGACAGGCCCAGGCAAGCATGTGGCAGATCCTCCTGCCAGAGGGTGTTGTCCCAGACAAAAGAGGCTACAAATCAGAAGATGCAATGGAGAGCACGTCTGTAATCCTAGCACTTGGGAGGCTGAGGTAGGAGGACTGCTGCATGTTCGAGGCCAGGCTGGGCTATGCAGCGAGACCCTGGCCCAAAAAACCAAACCAAACCAAACAACACAGTAGAGCAAACAAGAACCACAAAACTACCAGGTGGCCTCCTCCACCAGCTTTCTTTGTTGGAAAGCTGCTGAGGATTCCTGACCTCCATTAGGGTAGTTGCTTCTTTGTTCGAGTTGATGGGACAGGCAGGAATTTATGTAAACAGCTGGAAGCAGGACAGGGAGCCTCTTGACAAGGTGTCCGCTCAGGTGTCTTGCAGCAAGCGAACAATCTGTTCCACCCCATGGCCTAACCCATCCCTAGTCAAGGTGGAGTCTTCATTAGAAGGTCCAGGTCTGCAGCGAAGGACTTTCTCTATGCCCCACCCAACACCCCAAAGGAGCTGTTACCTTTATTGAAGAACATGGAGGCCATCTGTCCCATTTCCACCCGGTCTGTGATTTCAAACAGGTTGGGAGGTACACGTCTCTCTGTAGAGCCAAGAGGACAAGGCAGGGTGGTGGTTCTCCATTGGAAGAGCTCCATGAGGGGTCACTGAGCTCAGTGAAGTCTCCGGGATAAGGAAATCCCCAAGCATCTCAAACTCGAGAAAAACTTTTCCTAATGTTTCCTGCTTGACGCAGCTTATAAGTCGTGTTCCCCCCACCACTACTGGGGTGGAACCCAGAGCTTTGCGTATTATAGGCAAGAGTCCTACCACTGAGGCACACTCCGAGCCTCATGTCTGTATTTTGGTACCGGGGAAGCAAACGCGGGTCCTCATGCATGCGCAGAAGGCGGTGAAACCACTGAGCTAAATCCCCGGCCTCATGTCTGTATTTTTGAGTTCAGGGATGCACCTCATGGGGTCAGAGGGAGAAGGAGGACTCTCGGCTCTGGCCGGTGGGAGTGGGGATGAGATGGTGCGGCAAGAGCCTGTGCACAAGGGGTGAGGTGGGAAGCTGGAGCCAGAGACTCCTATTCACTCAGGCTCCCAGCAGGCACGAGGCACAGGGCTCAAATACTGTGCCAAGCTGCAAACGTCAGGAAGAGGTAGAGCCAAAGTCTGTGCTCTGCTTACTGTACCGTGGTGCCTTCCTAGGAACCAGCCTGAGGCAGGAAACAGCAGAGGAGGTCTGTGGGGGAGAATCCCCAGGGCCCTCTCCACCCAATCGAGCCCTGTGAAGCAGGGGAGCATGGGGCCTGCCCAGAATCCCAAGACTTACGCACAGACAGGATGGGCTGCTTCTCTGCCTTCACATAGCTGTCCTGAGTGAGAACATCACTGTCTGAGGCTGTGGAGGAGTCGTCATCTTCCTCCTCCTGGGAGGAGGTGTTGGGATGGATGAGGAGGAAGAGGAAAGACAAGGTAAAAGGATGAGTATGTAGCGCTAAAGAAACCCCAGGCAACAACGGGGAATGTACTTCCTTTGTTCTCTCTTTCCAGAAGGTATCTGATTGGGAACTTTCACACATCCTCACTGTCACATTAGAAGGTGAAGATATACCATACATAGTTCTTGGGGACAGAGCTTCAGAATGACTGTGAGGGACCAACGCTGTAAGGCTAAGGCAGCAGACGCTGCGCTCTTGCCTTTGCATGGTTATTAGGCTGCAGCTCTGGGGCTTGGGACCGGGTTCCTCACTGGGAGAAGAGCGGGCTGCTGCTGTCTCTTGGGCATACAACTGAGGAGAGGCCTGGGGAGGAGGCAACACACATACCTTGTGGGTTTCCATTCTCTTCCAGCGGAGCTGTGCATTGGCTGCGGCCATGGCCTCCACTACAAAGGTAGTGGTCACGAAGCTGAGGGGGGAGAGCGGAATGCTAACGACAGGGAGGAGGTCAAGAAGGTACACAGTGACCCAACCAGCAGGCTCACAGTGGCCTCTCTGAGCCATTCTGAGCTGGGTCTTTCCTGGTCAAAAATGTGCATGTGCACACCGGACACCCATCTGCTTGCTTCAGTAGCATTTCTGATGCCTAGGCAAGGGGGCAGGAACTAAGTGATGGGAGGGAGGGGGTTCACTCGAGAGAGTAGGGGCTGAGGTGGAGGTGATGCTGGGGGGCCAACGTGGCACGCACACCTGCAAGGGGCCTGCTGGGGCAGATGGTAAATCGGAGTTGGGGGGAGGAGGATGCACAGAGGGGTACTCAGAGCTGGAGGCACAGCAGGCAGCTTTACCTCTCCTTGCGACGACGTCACAGATGAGCAGTTAGCACCTAATTACATACACAGGTGCAAGAGGTTAAAGTGCGGCACGAGAATCCACCCCTTTTTACTCTTGGAATCATCTGGCTAATATTGAAATAAGCTTTCACTACTATGGCCTGCATCTATCTTTTTTTTTTTTTTCTTTTGGTATGGGGGATCGAACTCAGGACCTTGTGCTTGCGAGGCAGGCGGCGGAACCACTGAGCTAAATCCCCGGCCCAATGGTCTGCATCTAAAGGGGTTCTGGGCGGAAGTGGCAGACACTCACCAAGAAGTCAGAGTATAGCAGAGAAATCATCTCTTCTTTGCCACTTACAGAAACTCAGAGCCTAGGTGGGCACTGGAGCACACTGGAGTGTTCTTGTTAACAGGGGATGCAGGGTGCATCCTGCATCCGGTGGGTAAAACCTGAGGCGTGAATCCTTCTTTGCAACTCAGTAACTTAGGGCAAACTTAGGGCGGGTCTGGCTCTGGCCCTGTGTGGTCAGGGGCTGGGGACAGAGGGCTGTGACCGCTCAGCCTTGCAGGCGGGCAGCTGGTGGCAGAGGAGCTGCAGGGCCGAGAGCACCTCCCACATCCCTTTACCTCGGTGAGCCAGGAGGGAGGGGCAGCCAGGCTTTGGGGCTCCCATTCCCATGGCCTCAGCACCTCGGAGAAAGGTTTCCCATTATCTTGCCTAACTGACCATTTTAAGAGCTTTACAATTTCTCTTCTTTTTGAAAGTGAAACTAAAATCAATCTTAATTAAGGCATAAAGAGACTTCTCAAGGTTGTACAAAGCCAATTCATTGATCATGCTCAAACATAAATGGGTTTAGCAAAGAGGGGGCATGTCCCCCAATAATCAGTTCCCATTTAGACGGCTGCCTGTGCTGCAGGTCCTTCGAAGGGGACAGAGTAACGTTAGGACAAGGACTTCTACAGCTCCTGCCAGCCAGAGCTTGAAGTGCGTGATGAGCCAGTAGTACTCCGAGGTTCATCTCAGAACTCCCCAAAAGAGAAGCATAAAGAAACCGAAAAACCTGGACCCTTTTCTATCCCTTTGGGGTTCTGGGTCTCAGTGTGCTTCAACTACTCAGTTCTGCTTCATTCTTCCCACAGTGCCTTCTCCCTCCTCCTTCAAACCTGGGCTTTAGTGCTGGCCTCCGTGACCCCTATTTAAACCTGCAGTCCCCGACCCCCCCTCACCCTGCTGGGCTTTGCCATTTTTCCACACCATTCATTCCTCTGCAGTGTAAACACTTATCATCATCGCTACCCAGTCTGCCCCGTGAGTTACGGCCAAGCCTGTGAGGGCTGGGGTCTCTATTTCCCACACAGAGAATGGTGCCTGCTGTGGAGAGATGGGGTGTCACTTCTCAGAGACATGCTCTTTGGGGGGGGCCTCCCCAAGTACTCCTTCCCACCTCCTTTTATGTGGACGCCTAGCCATGCTCAGTCCTAAATCCCTTAGCAGCCTGGGCCTCTTGCGAAATGACTTCAGACTGCAAGCGGGGTCCCCAAGAACACCTCAGGTGGACTCTGCACACTCTCAAGCCCCAGCTGGGGTTCCCACACACCTGGCTGGTGGAGCAGGCGCCCTGAAGGCCTGAGAAGAACAAGGCAGGTCACTTAACTGACCGAAAAGTGAGTACCTTGCCTATTCGTCGCTTTCTTGGTGAATTATCTTTTTTTTTTTTTTTGGTACCAGGGATCGAACTCGGGTCCTTGTGCTTGCAAGGCAAGCAACGGAACCACTGAGCTAAATCCCTGGCCCATGGTGAATTATCTTAAGCAAATTCTGAGTTTCACACCTGTTTTCCAGGTCACCTTAATGTGCGTGGGATGCCTTTTCTGTGGCTAGCTGGTATTTTCTGAGAGAGTAACAGTTATGGCAACAGTAACAAAGTATAGAAGAGGACGGGCAGGCTGCGGAATGCATGAGACTTTTCCAAGCTAGTCTGGTGTCTCAACTTTTGTTTTTTGGTACCAAGGATCGGACTTAGGACCTTGCGCTTACGCGGCAGGCGGCGGCAACACTGAGCTAAATCCCCGGCCTGTCAACTTTTAACTCATTAGGCTGTGCAACTGCTCCATACCCAGGAGGCACCTGAGAGACCTTTGTCCTTCCTCTCTCCAGGCCACCCTGCTCAGGACTCAGCTACAGGTAGACAGCTGCTTCCCACCCTGAAACCGCCTTCCTGTTAACTGAGGGACGTTCAGGCACCCTGGGCAGCCACTCTCCTGCTCCAGCCCAGGCCCGGGACAGCCTCCTGCAGCTCTTACCTCATCAAGCCCAGGAACACCAGGAGGATGAGACTGACGAGCCAGCCGGCGGTGGCAAAGGCCTTGGGCATGGTGAGTGCGCCTGTGCCCACAATGAGGTTGAACATGTACACCAGGCCCACCTGGAACCACAGGGGTGACAGTCAAGCCCAGGCGTTAGACTCTTCCCAAATGGCCCCCGAGGATCATCAGCCTTCCCAGGCTGCAGACAGGAGGCAGGCAAGAAGGGAGAGGGATACTGGGTCCTGAGGAGCCAGCTCTGTTCCCAGGTGTCAGGGAGCCAGAAGTTTAACACCCCAAGGACAAAACCCCCATGGTCCATCAGATCTTTTCAGAATGTATCTGAGCAACAGTTTGTTTATCTTTGAGACATAGTCTCGCTATGTGGTTCAGGCTGGCCTTGAACTTGCAGTGATCCCCCTGCCTCAGCCTCCCGAGTGCTGAGATTACAGGAGTGTGCCACCATGCCCAGCCTGAGCGAGTTTCATCTCTACTCTTGCTGTCATTTTAGCCAGCACTCGGCCAGCTGGACACTCTCCTCTGCATCCTGAGCCAAGCTGCTAAAGGCTCCTGGAGGTGTTTCCTTGAAATCACAATAGGTCCTACACAACAAAGGAGAGGTTCCTTTCCCTCAAGTCTGGCAGCAGCAGATTTTCCTTATTTCTTCTGGTGTTTCCCACAGCAACAGCTCTCGGACCCATGACCCATCTCTCTCTCCCTTTCCTGCTTTGTGCAGGGGAACGAGGCCATGTGGCATGTGTTCCCAAAGGCCCACTCCTTCCTGACTCAAAAGATCGCAGGGCCTATCTCTTCCCTGCCCGCCTTTGAGGAACATGTTGCTCCTCCTTGCTGAGGCCAAGGTAGCATCTCAGCTTCTCGGCTCATCCCGGCCTGGAATCCTCTCTTCCCACTGGCTCTTCCCCTTGGCCTACAGACTTTCTTGACGTCTTTAAAACATGACTCATCTCACTTTCCCTATACCGCACTCATCGAGGAGCTACGCTATCTCCTCTGCTTTCATTTCCCAGTCCCTGTAATCCCAGCACTTGGGAGGCTGAGGCACGAGGATTGCCTTGAGTTTGAGGCCAGCCGGGAGGTACACAGTGAGTGTCTCAAACAAACCAACACAAACATCGCATCTCTAGGAACCCCGTTCAATTCTCATTGTCACTTCTCCCTCTTAAAAAGATGTACCTTCCTATATCTATTTTTAAGATTTTCTGAGATAGCTCTGGCCTGGGGGCCGGGGATTGAGCTCAGTGGTACTGCACCTGCCTCACAAGCGCAAGGTCCTGAGTTTGATCCCAGGTACCATTAAAAAAAAAAAAAAAGAGAGAGAGATGGCTCTGGCTGGGGATGAAGCTCAGCAGTGCCACGCCTACCTGGCAAACGCAAGGTCCTGAGTTCAACTCCCAGTATGGGGGGTGGGGACTAAGATATCTATGTATGAAAATTGATCAGAAATAGAGAAATCAGAACCATCTTCCCAGGCTCAGTCAGATTTTTTTTTAAGCATAAAGAGATAAGACAGAGATTGCTGGGCTGGGGATTTAGCTCAGTGGTGCCACTGCCTGCCTTGCAAGCACTCCTGAGTTCGATCCCTGGTACCAGAAAAAAAAAAAATAAATAAATAAATTGAAAGCAAATAATTACACACACACACAAAAGACAGAGATTGTCAAGTACCACCATGGGCTCCTGGGCTGAGGGAGGGGTGAAAGTGGTTGGGGAGTGGTTAAGCAGGGATAGGCTTCCCAGCAAGTGTCAACTGGACAGCTGGGTGCTGGACAAATGGGTGGACGGACGTCCTAACCAGAGGAAAGAGCCCCATTGACAGTACATTTATACTCAGCACCAGGTACCAAACCCTCTTGTGCTTTCTCCTAGCTCCTTGGTTCCTACTTAGCTTCTGGGGCCAAATTCCACCACAAAGCCTTTCCCAGTCTCCCAAATTCATTTTTTTTTTTTTTTTGATTTTTTGAGACAGGGTCTCACAATGTAGTCCATGCTGGCCTTGAACTCACTATGTCGCCCAGGTTGGCCTCAAACTTGAGGCAATCCTCCTGCCACAGCCTCCCGAGTGCTGGGATTACAAGTGTGAGCCACCACACTCAGCTCCCAAATTCATCTTGCTTTCTACTTTTCTTTTTTGAGATAGGGTCTTGCTACATAGTTCAGGCTAGCCTTCAACTCACTATGGAGCCCAGGCTGGCTTTGAACTCATGGTGATCCTCCTGCCTCAGGCTCCCAAGTGCTGGGATTACAGCTGTGACCACCATACCTGGCTTGCTTTCCGCCTCTGAGTCCTTGAAACAGTAAGGCTTCTTATACCTTATCCTGGATTTCAGATACTGGTGTATTCATCTTTGCCCAACTAGTAATCGCTGGCTGTGGCAGTGGCCTGGGTCTTCTCAATCCATATTCTCAGGGTGCCTGTCACACAATCTCCACATGGGACCTCGACTGACTTCTCCAGGCACTGCACAGGTGACCTTGGCATGACAGCCCATTGTTGGCTTCCGGAATGGGAAGTGCTGGCTTTGTGCAAGTGACTGTGAATGTCGACAGCAAATGAATTTTTACTTTTGCTGGGGTTCATTTTATGCCTGGCACTTTGAGGCTAGTGTGTCCAGGCTAGAACAGATCGTCTAGCCAGCTCAGTGACACTCACTCATGCATGTATTCAGACTACCAAGAGGCTCCTGTGGGCCAGGCCCCGGGCTGGCCCATCTTAGGCCATGACCTCTGACGTGCTGGAGCTGTATCCACAGGAGGAGAGACACAAGAACAAAACAACATGTACAGCTTGAGAGGAGCCTAAAGAAGAAAAGAATCAGGGCATTGCAACAAAGAATAATGGGCAAACACTTGGAAGGGCTTGGAAGGACATTTAAGTCAGGTTCTGGTTTTTTTGGGTTTTTGTGGTACCAGGGAAGACCTGTACGGCAGGCAGTGGCACCACTGAGCTAAATCCCTGGTCCTTAAGTCGGATTCTGAAAGATGGCACTGACTAGGCAAGGGGCCAGGAAGAGTCTTCCAGGTACAAAGACCTCTGGTGGAAATGAGGAGAGGATGTGGGAAGAACCTTCCGGAGGCCAGGGTGGCTGAGGCACGGGAAGCTAGGCAGTAGGAGGCTGGAGGAGGCTGGAATCAGATTGTGCAACTCTTTTTTATTTTAATTTTTTTCTTTTGAGACAGGGTCTCCCTGTGTAGTTCAGGCTGGCCTTGAATTATGTAGCCCAGGCTGCCTTAAATTCTCAGCAATCCTCCTGCCTCAGCCTCCTGAGTACTGTGATTACAGGTATGCATCACCACACCCAGGTTGCACTGCCCTTTTGTAAGCATGGGAGTTTGATGTTTTGGAGGGTTTTAAGAATGACACTAACAGAACAGACCCAAACCGACCTTCTGGCCTCTGAACTTCCTATAGCTTGGTTCTCTGTAGTGAAAAACTGCTGCTGAAGATAGAGATGTAATGACACATGCATGTGCCGACAGAGACTTCAAATAAATCTCAGTGAAAAAAGAAGCTTTAACAACTTTATACAGGAGTGAATTAGGCAGTTAGGAGCAGAAGTGGGTAGTTATGTTTGTCTTGCTCTTTTGCTATTATGGTTTATATCTAGATGTCCCCCAAAGCCTCAAGTGCTCATAGGTGGGGCTTTTGGGAGGTGACTGGATCGTGGCGGCCGGGGGGACCAGCCACCTGTCCACTGATGAGCTTATAGCGAAATGTGACGTTGGGAGGTGAAACCTGCTCAAGCAGCTGGGTTGCTGGGGGTGTAGCCTGGAAGGGTCTCTCTCCCTCCCTCCTCCCCAGAATTCTCTCTCTGCTTCCTGCCTGCCAGGCCATGAGCAATCCTTGCTTTCCATGCTGCATGCCTTGAAGCCATGTGACTATGGATTGAAACCTCCATGAACCGTTAGCCAAAAATAAGCCTCTCCTCATTTAAGTTGTGGGTGTCAGATATTTTGTCCTAGCAATGAGGAAAGTAACGCAGATAGTTACTTTATTTTAGTTCCAAAGCAAGTGCTGTGCCCCTAGCAGGGGCTCAGGGAATCCTGCAAGACAAAGCAGGACTTCCCTGCCTTCTGAGGGCCTCAGCAGCAGTCCTGGCAAGCATTCATCCTTTTTACCGTCAGTAAAGGTAATCAGTAAAGACCAGTCACAAGGAGCGGACAAATGGAGGCGAGAAGCGGCTCTGAGCTGAGCCACAGGCTGTCAGGAGGAGTTGTGGGGAAGGAGGGAAAGGAAGGGTACGTTCTCTTCTGCTGGCCATGTGACAATTCTACAGGGCCAGCCTCCCAGGAAGGAGGGCATAAAGCAGAGGAATAAGACCCTCCAAAGGCAAGGCCCACATGTGCAGGTTAAACCAAGCCTCCTCTAACTCCCTTCTCAGTGGTAGACCTGGAGGAGGTGCAGGCCCACTCCCAGGATTGCTGACTGTGTTCTGTGCTCTGGGGACCTCAGTGCAGCATGACATCTGCCTCACCTCCACCCCAGCAGCATCACCCATGACTTGCAGGAGGCAGTGGTCACCTGTGCCTTTCAATGGCTTCCCCTCTGACAACTGTCAAAGGAAACAGGCAGCAACGATGTGCAAGAGCTGACTTGGATTGAAGACTGATATCAGGGTCCTCTCCTTCAAATGCAAGAGCGAAAACCTTCAGCAAGAATCAGCTAGCTGATGGGTGTGGTGGCACATGCCTGTAATGCTGGCACTTGGGAGGCTGAGGCAGGAGGATCACTAGGAGTTCAAGACCAGCCTGGGCTGCATAGTGAGTTCAGGGCCAGCCTAAACTACATAGCCACACCTTGTCTCAAAAAAAATTTTTTTTAAACCAGAATGAAATTTAGCTAAAGCAAATCTACCCCTGAACTGGAAAAGCACAACTCAACTCAATTGGAAAAGAATGGGCAATACAGGGCTAAAAGGAGGCCGGGTCTTGGGAATGAGCATGGGCTGATAGTTTTATGAACTATGTGCCTAGTATCCTGGTTTCCCTAGGCAGCAAGGACAGACTTCTGCTCACACTGAGCCAAGGCCTACAGGAGTCTCAGAGCAGCTTTGGCAGTCAAGGTGGTTCTACAGTTGATTTGGGCTCAGTGGATGACAAACCCTTCTTTTGGTCTTACAGGGAATGAAGACTCATCCTCCCAGGATGGTGGAGAGAAGGTGTTTTCTTCCCTGAAAGATAGAGATGACCACTATCTCCTGGTCACCACCACCTCATCCCACCACTGCCCATCTTTCTCCTACATCTCTCTTTACCGTAGGATAAGAGAAAACAGCACTTGTTTATGGCAACTGTCCAGTCCTGGCCCTCAAAGAAAGACGCTGAATAAAATAAAGCACACAGGAAATGGAGGCAAAAGAAAAAAGCAGTAGACTGGGCATGGTGGTACGCATGTTAATCCCAGCGCTCAGGAGGCTGAGGCAGGAGGATCACAAGTTTGAGGTCAGCCTGGGCTACCTAGTGAGTTCAAGACCAGTGTGATACAACAGAGCAAGTACCTATGTTAGCGCATGTGTGAGAGAGAGACAGAGAGAGAGAGAGAGACAGAAAGAGAGAGAGAGAAGCTTGTAGGCCTAACTTCTCAGTCTCCTATGGGCACATGCTGACACTTGAAATGATGACTCGAACAAGAAATGGGGGCATCTTAAATCCTTCCAAAACTCGGTTACAGAAATGACTCATTTTCTTACATCTAAGTTTAAGGACACTGTAAGAAAAAGCAGGAAGTGTGGGACTTTTAGGCATGGCCATGTCACTGCTGACATGGGAGACTGGCAACTATTACATAATTCCACATACAAGAGGGACACTATTCATTCCATTCCAGGGTTCACAGAAGACTTCCCTGGGTAAACTATAGAGGTGAAGGAGGCTCCTGTATGGCAGCATGCCAATGGTGCAGGCCCAACAGGAAGACCCTGAAGTGAGGAAGGTTTCTTCTGGTTCATAGACACGCTTCCTTATCCATCACACTGCAATGCTAGTGTCTGTGACAGGAGCAGAAACAGTGCACAGGTCCCCAGGGTAGAAAGGTGTGTGTAAAGCAGGCCAGCAGCTTAAGGCAGGTAATTTCTAGAAAGAAGGCCCTGGCTACTTATAGGAATGTTGCTTTTCCCTGGGATACTTGGTAGCAACAAGAGCCAATCGTCTGATTATTCAAGTGATTACCTGCCAGCTACTGATCCAAGCAAGAGGTTCTGTGATGTAACTACCATGACCAGTGGACCTTACACACAGAAGACTGAGTGTGGGGGGGAGTGAGGAGTAGCAGAGACTCATGACAGGTATCAATCATTCTAACTGTCCTAATTGCAGACTCCAACTAACTACAACTTGAAGCCTCTGACTCTTTCGCCATCCAAGGCCATAAAAGTTGTGCAACTTAAAAGTTAGCTGAAGACCAAAGCATGTTCAAATCGCTGAGATGAATAAAACCCAAAGTCAACAACTGTCAATCACTGTCCATCTGAAGGGCTGCACCATATGCAAGTGGTGGTGGTAGCCCAGCAATAAATATAAAGAGTTAGCAAGGTAATTTTGTTGGGCTTGACAATCTCTGATACTCATCTAAAAAGGGAATAAACCCAATTCAATATTCTGAGCTAGAACAGAGGCAATGTGGCTCCTGCTTGCTATATTGGGCTCCTACTGTCTTCATCAGGGTCTTTCTTTCTTTCTTTTTTTTTTTTTGTCCTGGTACCAGGAATTGAACTCAGGACCTGTGTTTGCCAGGCAGGCACCACACCACTGAGCGACATCCCTGCCAATCAGGGTCTTCTTAAACAATCACTAGTATAACCCACAGGAAGTGGTGTGTGCTTCTGTACAGGCCAAAAGCATTGTGCTGAGCAAAACAGATTTCAGGAGGAAAACTCACATAGGGAGAATAGAGTTCTCCAGTCTCTGTGATTTCACCTGCCATCTTCAAAAATCGAGGAAGGGTAGTCAGCAAAGGCTGCTTCTGTTCAGGGGTGGTGGTCGCTGCAGGTCCCTAAGGCAAGAGAATAGACTTCAGCTTTCTGATAGACCAATATGGGGATGGGAGATATGCAGTCAATTCCCCTCTCCCTTGCACTTCAATAACAGACACTTTGGGCTTCAAGACTCAGCCTAGAGGGAAGGGTCTCGCAGAATGGGAGAAACCGGGCAGTTTCATTTAACTGGCCAATCTGTTCATGGCACTGCTCTGTGGATAGATGCTGTTCCGATCCTAAGTGACATAAGGGGCTTCTAAAGCCGCTAAGTCTCACCCACCACCACAACCCCCTTTACATACTCTAAGGTGCTTATGCCTACTTAATTCCAGGAACTGGGAGCTCACCACCACACAGGGCAGCTCACGGAATTGGGCCTCATGGTAGGGATCTGGGGCTTCCCAGGTCGCCCCTCCAACCCAACTCCTCGTCCCAAAGCCTCTCCTTTTTAACGGGGCCTCTACTCCTCAGCTCCCATCTGTCATCTGCCCTGCTTTTCGATTCCTCACTCTCAAATCTGCCTCTCTTCTCAAAAGCTCCTATCCGAGCCTCTCCTTCGTCCTCTCTCCTGAGGGAGCTCCTAGTCTGCCACCCCACTCCGTCCCATCCCACCGTCCCACCTGGCCTGGCACCTGCAGCACAGCTAGCTCGGGATCGCCGGGCCGCTGCTTGTAGCCACTCTGCCACTGCCGGGGCCAGCTGTCTCACACCAGTGCCCAGAGGGCGCATGCGCCGGCTCTCCAGCCCACCTTCCCGGCCCGGGCCTCGGGCGGGGCGCGGCACGCTGATTGGGCCCCTCGCAGGGGCGGAGCAGGGGTTGGACCTACGGGCTACCGTCTGCGTGGCGGAAGTGAGAAGGTGAGCGCATGCGGAAGGTGCACCGCCGGCCTGGCGGGGAAGCGTGGCGGGCTGGGAGAGGCGGGTCACGGGTTCGCCTGGGGACGCTTTCCTCGGCTGGGGGTGGGTGTGTGCTTGGCACTTCCGGGATCTGGGTGGTTGGAGGGTCGTGGAGAGGAGCTTGTAGCGCCATCCAAAGGAGAGGGACCTGGGAGTTTAGAGTGGGCTGGGAGGCCAGGTTTAGGGGCGGGGAGGAGAGGGCCCAGACCTGGGTGGCGTGGACGCTGGAATGAGATACTGGAAATAGGTTTGACGCAGGGCTGGAGGTTGATTCTGGACTGAAATCCTGGGACTGGGGCAAGCGATAGGAGCATTGAGGATAAACTTTGGTATTTGGTGCTTGGGTTTGATGAATCAAAATCCTAAAGAGTAGACCAAAAGGACGGAAGGAACGGCAGCCCAGGCTTGGCTCTTCTGAGATGCGAGCCAATGATTGCTTAATTATTCCTCGTCAGCTCGACTTTCTTTCTTGCAAGAGTTTTGAGTGCACTTTCTCTTAAGTGTTTGGAAGGAAAGAAGGTCTAGAGGCCCTTCTGTCAATTTAGGTTCACCCCAGCAGGAGAGCCGGAGCTCCCGCCCCAAGTGAGAAGAAACAGCGTCCGGCAGACTCTGCTGTCCCCCACCTGCAGCCTGCTGCCATGAGGTTGAATCAGAACACCATGTTGCTGGGGAAGAAGGTGGTCTTGGTGCCCTACACCTCAGAGCACGTACCTAGGTAACTGTTCACCTGACTTGGGGTACACTTGTAAGTGCATGTGAGGTTGAGTGGGTCAACTCTCCATGGCACAGCCAAGAGCCTTCCTTAGCGCCATCTCAGAGTTATTTCCCTTGAGAAGAACAAACACTGGTTGTGAAAAGTAATTACATACAGGAAAAATAAAGCTGAAGTGAAGAACTGCAACTTCCCTGGAAGAAGTTGACCATTCCCTTGATTTTCTCTTTCCCCATTTCAACTTCCTTTTCACTTTTCAGTAAGGAATTATTTTGTCAACTAAATGCATGTAAGAAAGAAAAAGAAATGATATTCTTGCCCAGTTGTAAACTGACTTTCCTTGGTGTCAGCAAATATAGCAGTTCTTGGAGACTTACCCTTTATTTGTACTAAAATCTTCAGCTGATGGAATTAGGTGTTTATTGTTGTTTTTGAGAGAGAGGGATTTGCTATATAGTCCAGGCTTGTCTTGAACTCACTATGGAGCCCAGGTTGGCCTCGAACTTTCAGCAGTCCTTCTGCCTCTGCCTCCCAAGTGCTGGGATTACAGGGGTGCACCACCACAGTTCTGATGGACTGTTTTGATGTCGACTGCTTGAAAGGCTAGAACTATGCCATAGGATGAACTTTTGTAGGGGCAGTGGGCAGATGTCTTGTAACTGTGAAAGTGGTAATTATGGAAGTGTCCTCTACTTGCAGTTTTCCTTTGGGAGTCCCTGGTATCCTGCCTTTGTAGGGATTTGTCAGGCCGTCATTGCTGAGGTTGACTTGCCATATATTTCCCATCAGTAATTTGAGGAATGTTTGGTTTCAGACTGCTCCAAATGGAACCCTGAGCCAGGTTGGGAAACTGAGCAGATAGAACATCCCCTACCTGCTGTTCTTTTGTGGGTCTGGCTGCTAGGGGGTCATTTTCTGTGACCTTCTGTCCTAGGAACAAACATAACCCTCTTTGGGTCTTCTGTGACCCTGTAGGGGTCTCCTCCCTACCATCCACTTTTTTTGTTGTTGTTTTTATGGAGATTAAACTCAAGGCCTTTGCACTTA